TATAATATTAAATATCACAATAATAACTCTTTAATTTATTTATTATTATAACTGATTTTATTTTTAAGAATTATTTTTCATATCAGATATTTTCCAAATAAAGATGATAGAAGTGAAACAAATATTTCAAATTATTATTTTTTATTTTTATTTCAAATAAAATTTATTCAATTCCGAATTTAAATAGAAATTTAATTAAAATATAATCAATTTTTTTTCAGCTAAGAAACTTCCCCAAGACGTGAATCCAAAAGGAGTATTTTCTTGCAATGAGCTTGACTTGAAAGAAGTCCAAGTATATGGATTTGATTATGATTATACCTTGGCTTGTTACAAGCCATCCATGGATTATTTACTATATAATCTTGGACGTGATATGCTTATTCAAAAATACAAGGTATATCAAAATATAATATATGTATACATATATATATATATATACATTAATTTTCTAATTATTTTTTTCAATTAACGGAAAAAATTCTCTGTATACAATACAATCAATCGTGAAAACGTGCGACAAACTTTCAAACTCGGCAAGATTACTAATTCAAACTAGGGAACGAAACTTTCTAACTCATTTCTGCTCGCGAAATTTAGTTCATCAAGAGTATTTTCTCGAAAATCAAACGACAATTACGGCCGAACGAGAATTTCAATTGAAACTTGACGCAAACTCGTTTAATCGGCTGTACAGTACCCCGAGGGAATCAGCAGCCTCGAGTACAAGAAGGATTTCGCTGTTCGTGGCCTCCATTATGACATCGAAAAGGGTCTGCTACTAAAACTCGACAGCTTCTTGCAAATTCAATTTGGCGCCGTTTATCGCGGTTTACATCCAGTGCCCGACGACGAGGTTCTTAGACTCTATAAAAACCGGATAATACCAATCGCCTATGTAGAGGCACCACATAAACATTCTCATGTAAGCATACTTGAATGAATAATTGATAATTAATTAATTATAAGTGCGATGCCCTTCCTTTATGAAAGAAATTATTGTTTACTATTGCGATTTCTTGTGTTTCTTTATTATCTGTAATTATTATCTTCCTGAAATTATAATTTTATCTTAATATTTTTATTTTTGTTTCGATATAGAAATTTATGATATTTTTCAACTTTTTTTATTTTCCATTCGTGACTATATCCGAAACATATAAATATATAAAATATTTTAAAAGGATAATATAAAAAATCCAATTAACAATAAAATCCAACTAATAATATGAAAAGATGCATGAATATATTTTAACTTTCTTTTAAAATTTTTATTATCTATATATATATATATAGAACTTACTTACTTATAATAATTGAAGTGACTATTTGTTTGTTTTTGTTGCACGCATCAACTTGTATGTTTTTCATGACGGATTTTTTCAACATAAAATATAGAAAGTAAGTATTACATTGTACTTCTACATATATATATATATTTTTATATGTATAATGAGAATTAAATTTCTTTTAGGAAGCATTGCACCGGACAAAAATGGTTCAATTGGCTGACTTATTTTCGGTACCAGAAATGGGTCTTCTATGTAACGTCACGGAATATTTCCTTAGAAATCATATTGATTATCATCCTGAAATACTTTTTAGAGATGTAAAGGTAAAAAAAAAAAATCTGTACAAAAGTTAAAGAATTAATTACAATGGTTTTTGATAAAAATAGATATCATTATTTCTTATTTAGAATTCTGTACAAAGTTGTCATCCTATAATGCATGGAATGGTGGTAAAAAATGTTTCTGAATATTTGGAACAAAATAAAGATTTGAAAAGATTTTTTGATCGACTTAAAAGAGCTAATAAAAAAATGTTTCTAGTAACTAATAGTCCTTTCCATTTTGTGTAAGTATTATAATGAATGATAATAATAACATAATGCACAAAATACTATATACAATTAATATTATTTTTTAGTGATACTGGAATGAAATTCTTGGTTGGTGATGATTGGAAAGATTATTTCGATGTAGTAATAGTACAAGCAAGGAAACCAAAATTCTTTACAGAAGAATCTCGACCTCTTAGAATATATGATGAAATTAATAAAACACAACTGTGGGATCGAGTTACTAAACTTGAAAAAGGAGTTATCTACCTTGAAGTATGTATAAAACGTTTTACATTCTTTTTTAATATCTAGGATTGATATTAGCTTTAAAATCAGGGCACAGTTAAACAATTACAAGATATGACCGGATGGCAAGGACATCAAGTATTATATTTTGGAGATCATCCTTATAGCGACTTAGCAGATGTAACTTTGGAACATGGTTGGCGAACTGGAGCCATAATTAAAGAATTAACGGTAAATTTGCAATGTATTTATAATTTATTATATATATATGTATTTAAAATAATTATTTGTATGAAATTTTTATTTAAATTTGTTATTGTTCATAAGAATTATTATTTTTAAAAATTGATTATTCAAGATATTATTTATATATATTTATTATTTATATAATTAAGATATTATTTATATATATAATATATTATATATATATATATATCTATTGTATATAGATAACAGTATATTTTTATATATTACAGCATGAAATTGCAACGTTAAATAATCCAAAATTTAAAGAAAATGCAAATTGGTTACAAATGCTAACAGGATTAATTGAAGAACATCAAGATTATGAAGGGCCAGATGTACAAACGATACTCAACGAATGGATTGAAGAAAGAGATGAATTAAGAAACGAGATAAAACGAGTATTTAATAAACAATTTGGATCTGTATTCAGAACATATCATAATCCTACATATTTTTCAAGAAGACTTTTCAGATTTGCCGACATTTATATGAGTTCAATTACGAATCTGTTAGAATATTCAACAAGTCATACTTTTTATCCAAGAAGAGGTGTAATGCCACATGAATATACAAGTTATTTCGTATAATATATAGTTCTAATATTTTTAATTAGAAGCATCCAATGCTTTAAAATGTGATAGAAATGAATCAAAAATCAATATTTCAATTGAAAATTCTAGAAGAAATAGAAATATTAAAAAATAAATATTTAAAACGCATTTGCGTTTTATGTAGATAAAAAGAGAATATTAGACTGCTTAATATGTTAATTTTGCGAAGAAGTATGTTGTTACATATAACATATATGGATAATTTTGTTTAGATAAAATATTATAATTATATAAAAATATTATAATATATATTGATTTATTAAAAAATTCCATTACAAAGATTCAAAATAAATAAATCTATATACATTATGTTTACAGGTATTGTTTAAAATATCTAAAAATTGCTAAAAAAAAATAAAATAGTAAAAAAAAAAAAAATCTACGTAAAACAAAAAATGTACTACACTTTCAAGATTAAAAACTGTTCTATTTGATTATTTTTTTCTTTATGGTAAATAGATACAAGTAATTTATTCAGGTACAAAATTCGTTACACTAATTGTAAGTGTTAAAAATAATATTCATTATCAAATCGCAATATATATGTACTATAAATATTGTAAAACAGCCATATGAAAATTGTTCTATATTTTGTAACAAAGTACAATGATATATATATGATAAGAGAATATAAAAGTTGAAGTTAATAGGATTGTTTCTAATAACTGTGATTTTAATTTCAAATATAAATTGATTCTTTTATATTTACTACCTAAAATATTTTTGCTGCTATGAAAAATAGGAGTCTTTTTATTTTTTAAGTATTCATTTATTTTAATTTCAATCTTTTTCGCAAAATAAAAAATATTTTCTTATAATAGCACTTATAATATTCAGTAGAAAAGTATATTATATAAAAGTTATGTAAATTATCTAAAAAATTTTTGTGAATTTGAAATTTCTGAAAAAGTTAACTAACTATGAGGAAATCATTCCTTTAATCGTAATATATAAATTGATCCGAGATTTTATTTTTTTATTCCAGAGTAAAAATTTTTGAAAATAAAATAAAAAAATATTCTACATATTAATGTTACTTAGTTTAATATTTATGTTATATGCAAAGAGAATATATATATATATATTTACATTGAATTATATTATATTATAATTAATATAAAAAAGAAAAATTGTTAATATTTTGTTTATCAGAACGGAATAATGTTTCTTTTGTTTTGATAACGAACTTTTGTTTAAATGCAAATGTGTTCAAATGTATATGAATGATCTGATTAATCAATAAAAATCAATTCCAAATCAAAATCCAAAGCTAGTATGATGTTTTTTCCAACATGAATTTAGCATTATTTTACTCTTTGATATTTTATTTTTCAAAATTTTTTATAACATTAATATCTATTATAAATTAAATTTCAATTTATTCAAAATAATTTATTATATTTATTTAATTAATTATATTTTTGTATTATTATTTTTTAGAAATTAGAATTATTTAAAGTTTAATAAATGCTGTAAAAAAATAAAATTGTAAAATATAAATATTACTATATATATATATTATTTTAATTGACTTTTATTAATAATAATTAAATGTTATTATTTATTATACTATTTCTTCTCACAGATAATATTCTAATTACATCAATAATTATAAAATTTATGAAATATATCATAAAATATAAATTGAAAACAAATAATAAAAAACTAATGTTTTAATAAAAGTTGTATAACAAGTATAAAAGTTGATTCATTTTTACTATGTATTATTTTCTTAAAATTTTTATAATAAAACAAATATAAAATAATTTAAATAAAATCCAATCAAAACTAAGTTTATAAATTATTAAATAAAATAAAATAAAGTAAGTAAAATTCAATATTTTTTACTAAAGATAAATTGTAAATGTTTTATAACATAAATTAATTATAATTTTATAATAATAGCTACAATTCATGTTGGATTTGATAATAAAATTAAGCAACTATATGAATCTAAGAGCATTATATGTGTACAACATATATAATGTGTCATATATGAATGTGTATGTGTATATATATATATATACTTATATACATATATATAAATTATAATATTTATAAATTATTCAAATATATTTAAACAAATATCAGAGATACAGTATATTTACATAATGTTCTCTCATACTCATGCAAATACAACATACACACAGCACTGTCTTATGTATATTTTATCATCGAATACAGTCAGTCCACAGTATTATTTATTTATATACTTGAAGTATCTGTATTCGATGGTTATATTATGAAAATGACTTTAATTATATTTACTTCATCTAATTATCGCACAATTTCAAGCTAAATTTAATAATCCACAGCCAAAGGCTGTTAGGTAGCATATTTTCGGCATACGTTCTAGAGTTTTTTTAAAATGCGACTTTAATCACGATTTTTATTTCGTATATCAATGGTACGAAATCTATATCTATATATATAGAATATATATTTATATAAATATTATTATATTTATTATATATAAATATATATATCGATGATAAAGAATATTAATATTGCTGAAAACTAATTTTATGTTCAGTCTGCATCAAATATGTTATTCAGTAAGTCAATTATTCAAAATTATTATAAAAATCCATATATTATAAATTATGAATAACGAATTAAATTATGTGCATGCATTATTTACATTATGTATATGTTAAATTTCAATAACAAGTTATGAGAAATGATAGTAAGATAATTTATATATGATTCAGATAAGAATTTAATCATATTTTATAATTCGTTTTAATTAATTGTCACTTTTTTGACTTACTGACCAATTAATAATTTTTCACATACAGTCTTCTGATTCCATGCAGATGCAAAACATATAACTACCGACGAGGTAGATTAGCAAAATGAAATTTTATCTAAAATAGCAAAAGTTGTGTCGCATACATAACGACATTATGAAATCACGAATTTTATTTGAGCTAGAACCATAAAAAATGAAAGAAATAACTAATTAAAATGGAATTTAAATTGGAAGGGAGATCCATGGAAGTGATGAAACTCTTGGTAGGGATTAAATCCTTGTTGATGTTTTCCTGATTCAGGATCTAATGGATCTTCTCCTTGATCAAATTTTGCTCTTTTTTCATCATCAGTTAATACTTCTTTGGCAGCTGCAATATCAATAAATCTTTTTTCTGCTAGTTTCTTTTCTTCTCCTTCTTGAAAATTATCAGGATGCCACTTTTGTGCAGCTTTTCTATATGCTTTGATAATATCACGTTTAGATGCTGTTCTTGGCACACCCAAAATTTTATAATAATCTCGAGATTCAGAAAGTTTTTGTCGTTGTTGTGCTTTATGAAGACCTTGCTTTGCTCTTTGTAGACTCATATCAATTTCTAAAGCCTCTTTAAAATCTCTAATAGCTTTTTTAAAATAATAAATATATTAGTAAATTATATTAATAATATAAATCTATGTATAATATGTTCTCCCATTTTAATCTTTATATATATTTGTTTTTTAAACAATTCATTATTTGAAAAAATATTTTAAATACT